TAGTAGTAGTAGTAGTAGCAGGGACCAGCAGCAGCAGTGGTTGTCGTGGTAAACGTAGTCGAAGTAAAACTTAAAGCCCTCTGAGCAAACCCTGAACCCGTAGGGTAAAGTCCTGTGTCCAAGTGAGCATTTTGCATCCTACTGTCCGGCCAGGCTGCTGATCTTAGCAAGCCAAGCGCACGGCCCATAGTTAGGCTGGAGTGAAGGGTCTTAAACGGAGTTCTGGGCCTGAGGTTATTCAGGGTTCAGGGATATTTGGGGTTGAGGGTCAAGATGAGTTTATTTTAGCTCGTGTTTGGTGTTGCAGCCTGCAGCCTTCATGTTTGTGCAGTTTGTTTCTTGCACTTCTCGTGCTTGAACATGCCGTCGGTGTGGTGAATCTGCTGTTTTCCCCCGGGCTTGCACGGCTCACCGACCCGGTCCAGGGTTCAGGTTGTTTGGCAGATTGGGCCCAAACTGTTCGATTTCTCTGGGTGTACCTACTGGAGAATCAGGTTAATGTCGCTATCAGGGCTTTCAAGGTTGCGACCTGAATCTTTGATTCAGACTGGGGCTCGCGGACTAGCGAGCAGGATGAATCGCAGTGGTTTTTTTGGATGAGATGCCTCGTTTCGTTCGTGGTGGTCATTGAAACTCAGGCCATGTTGCCTAGACCCGCTAAGAACCCTGATAACCCGCTTGGACTTCCCTCCCTAGTAGAAATACGAATACTAGTAGTTTAGTAGTATATTAACAGCTAACAATAGTATACAATACTACGAGTACTGCCTATCTTGTCATGCTTGGTGCTTCGGAGGAACCTGGTTCCCGTTGGCCGGATGCTCAGCTCAGGTCTATCATCAAGCGAAGGTTGTTAATGACTGCTCGTTGAAGGATACGTACCTCTACTACCGGACATGGTGTTTTTTCATCCGATCTGATCCGAAAGGTGTTTATGCCAGTCGTAAATCGCATCCCACGCATCTGGTGGCAAGCTGCCGCTGTCGGGATGCACTGTCCTGATTGTTAGGAAGACGGCTGTATAAGGCCGAGAGAGGCGAGGAAGTACCTGAACCTGCAATGGCCCAAACAAGCTGCTGTCATCCCACTGCTACGAAACATGCATAAGGTCGCATAAATCATGCACGGCCTCAGATCTTTGCCTTTTCTGTTGCTGCGTCGACCTACTTGGCCCATTTACGACACAAGTGTCTTCCCTTCACTCCTTCAAAGCACCCATATCATTTTCGTTCATGCTAGCTTCATGCATCAGAACGCAACAGTAAGCCTGGGTCCGCGCTGGGTTGCCTGCCACATTCCTACTCAGACCCCCATCATGGCAATGCCGAGCGACGTCATGGCTATCAGTGCTTGAGCATCGATCCCTCGCCAACATTCAGTCCTGAAGCCTCGAAACCATTCCCCAGCCTTAATAGGCCTTATCTAACAATGGAGCTGCAGCAGGTCAGGTGGATGCGTCCTTGCCGCCAGAACGCGGCTCGCTTGCTTTAGCTTTTCTCATTCAGGCTTCGGGTGCGGCTGCAAGACAGAGAGCGGGATGTTCTTGAAGATGGCTTTCGGCATTCGATATCTGCACAAAGGCTTGGGTGTCCTTATACCTTTGTTGCCTACGTAGATACGTTGGCCTTAATTATAGGCACTCCTAGATAGGTGCTGTGCTGCCAAGTCTCTAGTACCTTAGGCATATAGGTGCATGAACCCTGTGCTTGCATTCCCGGAATTGTGGTTTACAGTCATAGTCATCCATTGCAAAGGTTAGTGACAGTGGTTCTGACGGCGATATTGTATGCAGCTCTTCGACGGCTTCCAGTTCGTGAGGATCCTCATAGATACAAATGTATTGCTTACCCTTTGCGGGAGCGGGCTTTAGTGCCAAGTGTTAGGAAGTTTGAACTGATAGAGTGGTGCTTAGCTTCATTAGGGTAGTTTCCCCCTAAATTTGGGTCCCTTTAAGGGTTGTGTTTTTAATGGTTCCGTACTAATTTGGGGGCCCTAATTTGGAGAACTACGCATGTCATGGCCTCCACAAACAATCGTCGTGTCGTTTGCTCTCAGGCGTCTCGCGACTTTGGAAGCCACAGCGAGCCACTGGAAACTCGCAAAGCCTCACATCCTCAAGCCTTCCAACTAGACAGACACAAAGACGAACGCAGCCTCGAACCATCTCTGGAATCTTAAACCTTCCGTCGGGGGCTTAATAATTACCTATACTATTGTTACGGTTCCTCAATATTATAACTATACTAACTATACTATAACAGACTCCAAAACCTATACTATAAAGGACCCCAAAACCCTATTCTAATTATGAAATCCCCTACGTTAAACCTTCGTGGCCCGGTGTCACCGAGGTTGCGGCGCTGCCTTTGGCAACCGGCTGGCTGCGGACTGCTTGGCGACCCGTGTCATGTGTTGACGTCCGGTAGTTCGGGGCCCGAAGCGGCACACAACCCTGTTTCCACTTCTAAGGATCTAGAGGGTTTCTTAGGGTTTATAGGACTTCATGAGGCTCCTACAACCCTAAACCCTACAAGCCCTAAACCATAAACTGTGGAAAGAGGACCCCTCTTCAGGGTAGGAGGCGGATACCAGATGCAGAGCCTTAGGTGTGAGATCCTGAGCGCTGTTTTGGTGCCATAGGTGTTTATCCGAGATCTATCGAGGGCACCCGGATTTAGGGTTAAGTTTTTGGGTTAATGTATGGGGCCCTATGAATTACCTGTATCATTTTGGGGGGTTCCCTGTTATACTTACAATTTAACATACCCCCAAAACCCCTATTCTGACTATTAAGGCCCCTACATTAGGGGTTAAGTATTGTGAGAAGTTGGGGTTCAGTTTTGAGGATTTTGGACCCTAAACCCTAAACCCCAAACCCTAAACCCTAAACCCCAAACCCTAAACCCTAAACCCTAAACCCTAAACCCCTAAACCCCTAAAAGCCGCGGGGCTCGCCAGGTAAACAAATTCTGGTGCTGCTCGGCCGGTATGTGGTCCCTGGCTCAGCGTGCCCGACTGCTGAAGGGTGTCGAGTTTCGACGTTTAGGGGCTGGTTTAGGGTATCGGGGGAGAGATGTAATGTCCAGCAGCTTTTTGCAGCGACGGATCCCGAAGACAACAACAATTAGCGCTAAACAGCCAACACAGGGGTCAGAAACCCACCAGGTCAGAAAGCCCACCAGGGTGGGTTTCGGGGTTTCTTGGAGGCTATGTCTTCAAACTTAAGGGCGTGAATCAGGAAGAAATTCGGAGCGTAACATGAATGGGCACGGGACACGGGGGAAGTTTGCGTGGATGTGTTGAGGCTCTCTGGTAAAATGGCCTAGCTCAGTACTGTTGCACCTGGGTGGAAGGCTCATAATTATGTGATAGTGGGTACATTTTGCGCAGGTTGTAGGTCCACTTGCACTGCACTGGGTTTTGTGCGTCTTCTGCACAGATCACCGTACCGTACTGTGAGTCGAGCATGACATACAGGGTCCAGTCCCACATAATATACAGTGCTGTATCTCGTACAATCAGTACAGCCAGTGTCACGACAGGGTACAGTAGCATGCGGCCGTTCGTATGAGGTACATGTGTGCAGCAGCCCGAAAGCGTTTCTCAGGTGCGGCGCAAGCAAGCAGCACTGTGTCAGCCCCGACCACGAGTGCCCAACTCTGCAAACTTCAAACATAGCTCGGTTTAGAGTTGGGTCGAGCCTCAGTTGAGGGTTTTACATTATATGCTTCGCTTAAAGCCTACCGGACCTGCCGTTGTATTTGTGGCGCCCAGAAAGGAAGCTGTATGTTTGAAGGAAAGCTTGGCTTGGACTTCTTGCCAGATTGAAAGCTTCGGAAGGATATCCTAGCTAGATAAATGCTTTCGTTCTTTGTAGATTCCCTGATACAAACCCAAACAAAATCCTACGTTGCAAGTGCTCATCGTGGCAGTCTTACACAGTCAAAACCCTGGATTGATTGCTGAATGTTCCGGCTGCTAGTCGGTCTCTTGCCGGTGTGAGTCCCCACTTGGAGTCTCTCCTCACTTATGAAGTGTGCCTTGTATCCCTTACCACCTCTACCAGAACCCATTCTACCCAGCCTGCTTACTAAGTCAAAAGAGCAGCCCCTAAATCTTTGTTCTCCCATCATGAGACCCTTTCATTGCCAATCAAACCCCGACAAAGTCCCAGAAAGCCGTCGAGAACGCATCTTAAGCCGCAAACCCACAGCCTTCGATCATAAGCCCTAAACCCTGCAACCCCAAGCCCTAAACCCCAAAACCCTTAACACCTAAACCCCAAGCCTTTCAAATCCCGAAGCCCTAAAACCTTAACCCGACACAGGTGCCGCGTTGGGAACTCTCAGACGCACTTCTGTGGAGCAGGGCCGGGCCACCCGGGGGCTCGTAACGTCGTAGTAAGGTAATATAGGGGCCTTATAGGGGCCATAATAACTAGCTTAGAGTTTGGTGGTACATTATATTATAGTTACAAAAAACCCCAAAACCCTATTCTAATTAGTAAGGCCCCTACATTAGAGGGTTGCTTAGGGTGTTTGAGGGTAACGGGAAGGATTTTCCGTGGTTCAGAGCTGGAGCTTTCAGCTTAGGGGTATATAGAGGTTGCTTAGGACTTTAGGGTTTAGGGCTTTAGGATTTTGGGGTTTAGGGCTTTAGCATTTTAGGGTTTAGGGCTTTAGGGGTTTAGGATTATTAGGGCTTTAGGGTTTTGGGTTTATAGGGCTTTTGGATTGTAGGGTTTAGGGCATTAGATTTTAGGGTTTAGGGTTTTAGGGTTTGGGTGTTTGATTTTAGTGTGGTAGAGTAGTTAACTTTTTTGGTGTATTCTAACACCTGTAGTTGAACCTGGACGTTTTTGGGGGTACTATAAACCCTAATTAATCCCTATATTCTATGTAACCTTGAAGCCTAGCTCTAGTTCCCCTAAAATACTGGACAAGTGACATATGTCACAGCTCCACGTATAGCGAAGACATTCGGACGTGGCAGGCCTCAACTGCAGGCCCTGAGGGTTTAAGGGGTTTAGAGCTTACAGGGTGAAAAGGGTAGCAATGGCTTATAAAGGGTTATGAGGGGTTATAACTCTTTTGCAAGGAAAAGCGGTCACAGAGTTACTTATACGGCTCGGGGTTTGTGTTTAGGGCTTATCGGGTCTCGGTGTCGATCTCGAGCTGTAGGGGCCTAAGAGTTCGATTGATGTCTGGATATGCTTCAGCTGGGAAGACGTCGGATGTCCGATGTTGACAGTGTCTGGGCCTAGACCCTCTAATGTCGTTGTGGCTTCTCTGTTGGCCTACTTCACGCTTATAAGATGATACAGAAGATGAAATAAGACGTAAGAACAGGACCCCAGTTGATTAATTATTTGGTATCCTTCACATGATGGTTTCCTTGTCTCACTTGCAAAGAGCCTGAAGCTTGCCGCTCGTCTCTTTATGATGGGACCCAAGCAATGACTTCAACCCTGCACGAGCTGCATGCACCGACTTATCTTTCAAGATCTTTCAAGTTTGTGTATCACCCAAAGGGTCCAAGTTATAGTATAGTATATACTTTGGGGACCCAAATACCTACAAAGTAGCTACCATATTAATACTTGGACCCTTTGGGTCACTTGCGCCTGAAGAGCTAGGAATGCACTTTCCTTAAGATTACTAATCCGCATTACATAATCTTCGCACTAGCCACAGCACCCGACCCCGACACACTAGCCCAAGCAAAGTATGCGAGACCGCTGTTATAGCCAAAGCGAAGCTTTGCTCGCCTCCTTTTCCGCAGCCGATGCACCGCCGAATTCCGGTGCTCTCTCGCCCAAGCCTAGACCCTGTATAGAAAGCCAAGCCTCCAACACACAACGAAACTCTGAACCCGAAGCCAAGCGCCCCAAAACTTACGAATAGCCCCTTGGAGTAAATTGGCGCTGAAGCATTTCGGCCCCCGCCTCAGCAGAACTGAGGTGGACGCTCCGGCTGGGAACTTTCGGCCTGACTTCACTCGCAGATCGTTGACAGGCGGGAGTTTCCAAAAGCTTCTTGGCTTGGGCCTAAGGGTCAGAACAAGTCGGTGTTGCCAGGTTTTTATTGTTCTGACTGACGATTTCGCTAGCACTTACGAGGGCCTAGTTATCACTAACGGATTTTGGTAACACTGTTGTACCATTACTACTGATCGTATTCCCGGGTTTTCTGGGTTACCTCAAGCCTCGCAGTACATGATCTTCAGGGTTGAGGATTTCGGGAGTTCGGGTGTTCTGGACCAACTCCTCAAACCCTAAACCCTAAACCCTAAACCTTAAACCCTAAACCCTAAGCCGCCGAGCAGTTTGTTTTGCCTTTTCTTTCGGGTGCCCAGTCTGGCAGCTCAAGGGCAGCGAAAACTCGCGCTGTCAAGACCCTGGAGTAGGCACTGTAACCCTAAATCCTAGACACTAAACTTTGAAGCCTAAACCCTAAACCCTAAGCTTTAAACCCTAAACCCTAAACAGTTACTGTAAGTCTTGACTTGCTGAACCTGAAGCTTTCTTCGAGCATGAGAACAGCATACATACACCCTAATATAGGGGCCTTAATGAGGGCTCCTTACTATAACTATAGCAAATTATGCCGTGACACCCTATTCTAATTGTTAAGGCCCTACATTACACCCTCAAGCCTCAGCTGCCCTAAACCCTGAAACCCCGAAGCCTAAACAGCCTGTAGCTTCAGCGTGGCAACAGGCTCCCTGCGAGTGACCTGCAGAGACCGGGGGTCCACTCTGCAGAGTGTACAAAGACTCCACTCCAGTTTTCCAGAGCTTAGCGTTACGGTAATATAGGGGCCTGAATAATTTACAACACTATTTTAGGGTTCCTTGTTATACTTACAGTACAATAAACACCCAACCCCTATTCTAAAATTAAGTCCCCTGTATTCGTACAACAGTATGTCGTAGAACTACATCAGAGCTACAGTTCAATTGCAGCATTATAGGTGTATAGTTCGGGTAAAGTTATGGTATTTCTTGTTCTACAACTTACGCTCGACAGTAGAAGCCAAAAAGTTGGAACCCCAATAGCCTCAGTCCTTATTAAGAGTAAGGTATAGCGAATCCCAGCACGAGTTGGCCTTAATCCGGTTTCCAATTGTTTGGGGTTAACTTTAACTAGCTAGGCCTTTGGGACATTGTCTACTTTCCCTTATTGGGCTTAAGAGGATCTTAATTACGAATCTTTTTCAGAGGCTTTGAGGGGCCAACCTAGATAAGAGCTTGGGCTACCAAGGGTTCAGGTTTTAGGGTTTAGGGTTTAGGGAACTTCTTGGGCTTGCAGGATAAGGAGCTTGGGGTTTCGGATTCCAAGCTTTAGGATTGCAAGGGCCTAGGAGTTAAGGCTTCGTTGTTCCAGGAACTTGAATACTCTAAGCCCTAAACCCTAAATCCTAAACCCTGAACCCAAACCTCAAACCCTGAACCCTGAACCCTAAACCCTGAACCTCAGATCTCCTACGTAGGTCTCCAGGGACTCCAACTCCCGTTCAAGACTGGCTTTAATGTAGGGGCCTAAATAATTACGTATACTATTTTGGGTGTTCCTCCTTAGAGCTTAGTGTCGTGTACCCCAAAACCCTACTCAAATTATTAAGGCCCCTATATTACTTCTTCTTCGGTTTGGAGAACGGCTCCATATGGCTTCTATACTACGGGGTGTTAGGGGGTACATGGGGAGGGGTCTTGTTGAAATCAGGGGTGCCTTATTAGTTGGAGATCCTTGTTGCAAGAAGGGTCCTGCTACTCAGAGCCCATGATTACCTGCGCCCTTAAAGCCCCTAGGCCAAGCCCTCAACTCTAAACCCGTTCCCTGGAAGACTTGGGCAGATGAAAGGAAGGATGAGGGGAGTTCTCTAAATTAGGGTCCCTTTGTAGGTCCCCAATATATTACGGCACCCATATAAAACGGACCCTAAAAACCCTAAACCCTAAACCCTAAACCCTAAACCCTAATTTCGAGAACTACCCCTGAGGCTGTGGCCAAAGAAGCCGCGGCCGGTCCGTCAAAGCTTCTAAGAGGATGCCGGGCTTTGGGGCTCAGGGTTTAGGGTTTAGGGTTTAGGGTTTAGGGTTTAGGGTTTAGGGTCAGGTGTAAGGTTTAGGCTGGGCTTCAAGGTGCCATAAGAAAGAGGTCTGCAATACCTCAAAAAGCAATCCTTAAATAAGTGGGGGTCCTTATCAAACTTAGCCCATTGAGGGTTTTGCTGAGGTTTGTGTGCTCACATATATGGGTGTTTTCGGTTTTCCGACCTAGTAAACGATGCAGGGTTTAGGGGGCCCCGCCCGGCGCTACAAACAGACTTGCCCAAGTAAGCTAGGCCCTATATACTTTAAATCCCGAACTCTAACCCAAAGGCCTATATAGTAGAATGTAGGGTTCCTATGCTAGGAATTCTTGTTATGACTTAGGGAAGTATCCCCCATACCAGTACATAGGACCCTTTGATTAACTGCTATCCCAGTAGAGCCGCAAAGCAAGCTCGGATGAGAGCATGTGACGCGTCCTGTGTGGCCGTGAAAGCCAAGAAGGAAGACCGTGCAGCGATACTTGAAGGCTCATGGGTAGCTACAAGTCATGCTTTTAAGTACCTTGATTGTGTAGTGCTACCAGCAGCCATGCTATTATTCTGCAACCCCGTAACCTTACTTTCAACGGATTTAGCGGCCCATGATCCCTGAAGTACTTGACTGGGACTCGGCAACCGCCGAAGCCAAAGCAGCTTCGGCAGTGCAGCGCTAGGCACACGAGGAGTTCTGTCCGCGCATTTGTCATTGCTTAAGGCGGCTTCAGGAAAGAAACGGGTAGGTCTGGATCATGTCGCCAGCACTACTCCGCAATAGCAGTGTTTAGGGCTGTAGGATTTTAGGTGCTGCTTGCGTTCTCGCTGAGATATCTTGAGGACTCGAGCTCACAGGACCATGTTGCGGAGCCACGATTGGTGATTAGTAGTGTTGGGGGGAGGGCGACAGATAGTCTTTCGGTTGATGATGGCTGATGACAGAGATCACGACCACGATGGTGGTGCTGATATGCAGGATGGCGATGCACTTGGAGACATGGGTTGAGGCAGTTGGGACGGTTGGTGCAATGCGAACCCTGTTCTTTCCTGAAGAGCTTGTCACATGCAGACTAACTTGATTGCGCACGCTTCAAGTCCAAGACATAGGGACTAAGACGGAGTGTGATGTTTGGAAGATATGGGAAGCTTAGTGAGCAGCTTTGTGTACAGATTGAGCCTGCGGCTTGAGGTATTTGATTCTGAAACCCTGAATGCAATATGCAAAACCCCGACATGTAATCCCTTAAGCCTGCGCCCGACCCTTGAAAGAGGTGGTTGTGACATCTCCGAGGCCGTCTGCCTTACAAGCTCCCCACTTCCCCGAGCTTCACAGGAAGTATCCAGTGCGCACGGAGTACACCCTCAACTTAGCCCCGGAGCCGTACACGATATGGGAGCTTCCGAAAATAAGGGGTACCCTATTTTGGGGTCCTTATACCAAGGATCCCACTATTTAGGGTACTATATTAGGGTCCCCTATTTTCGGAAACCCCCATATGTACCCACAAAGCAAGGGTCGCACTAGGCGGGGTTAGCCTTGCTCCTGACCTTTGGCCCTACATGGATGCTATCAGAAGCCTGCAAGAAGTAGAGACAAAACACCTCCACTAAATCCTAAACCGTAATATAGGGGCCTTAATAATTAGAATAGGGTTTTGGGGCCCATTATACTGTACCTATACTCAGGAACCCCCAAAAGAGTATTAGTAATTTTTCAGGCCCCTACATTAAACACTGTCATCTTCGTCCCTCATGCGCCGTGCCGCCTTGGCAGTGGTGGGGACGGGTGCTGTGCTGCTGCGGTGCCCGGACGAGGAGTCTGGCATGAGACATAAGATAGGGGCCTAAATAGTTTGGGGGGTTCCTTACAATTCATTTATAGTATAATGGACCCCAAGACCCTACCCCTTCTTGAGGATTTGACGTCCTAGTTCTTGTCGAAACATTGAACAGAGATTGAGCTCAAAATGTAGCACGCCTGTTGAATTCCTGCGATCGACAGAATGGAGAACAGCGGGGGTTGTAATGTCGAACCACCTGCGCCTGGTTGTATCACATGACCAGATAGACAACCCCGTGAAATTGCACTCCCTGTCACAGCAGATGATTCCCACCGAGCTACTACTTTCTGACCTGCAGCTGTCAGCTGTGCCATGTTGCTGCTATGCAGCAGTCTCATGTTGTTGAGCTTGCTTCAATCTACAATGCATGCATGCATGTTTGTCTGTATTGAGTCTCTGTCCGTCTGTCTCTCTGTGCGTATGTGTGCGCACACACATCAGCAACAGTCAGCATCCGCTTGAATAAGCCGGAGACCCAATACCTATCCAGCTCTCCAGGTGGCCACAGATTCCGGGGCCCTTGCAGCTGCGGAAAGCGGAGTCTTGGTCGCACTTCGGGTCTTTGATGGAGTAATTAAGGCTTTTCAGAAAGGTTGCACGGAGTTGTATGTCAAGCAATGGCAGTAGTTATCATACCAAGGTTATTTACACTGGCGGGTTGCAATCGGAGTATCTTTCATTGGGGCTTCGGTTGGCGGAGCAGATCCCCTCATCCACATGGTGACTGAACTGCTTAGACTGTCCGAGGCCAAATATAAATAGATGTCGGGTTTAGTAGTAACAGATAGTCACGACATTTCCTGCCCTACATGCCCGCTGTAACCGTAAACCCGAAAATCCCAACCCCTAACTCGAATAGACCCCGAAACCTTATTCTCATTACGGGCTTACGCGTCCATGGGCTTGTCGCCTGCCTGTTACACATTTGTCCCTGACACGGAGATCCCGAAGCCTAATATGTGGATGTATATGTATATCTATGCATGTGTATGTAGATAGATAGACAGATAGATATATGTTTATATTTCGATTTAGGTATAGAGTATAGATGTAGGTAGTTACAGGTATAGGGTATAGATGTAG